GGATCTCTGGATCTCTGCCTCCGCCTTGGTCGCCAGAGCCCTCGGCTCCACCCTGGCCCCCCGGATCCTCGGCATCCCCCTGGCTCGTTGGCTCTCCGTCTCCGCCTCGGGCTCCTCCTCCACCTGCTCCGCCGCCGTTGGTCGGCCCCCTGGAGTCGGTGGACATTCCTCCTCCATGGCTCCTCCCGCCGTCGGCTCCGCCGTGGGCCGCTATTATGGCTGTGGCCTGGGTCCCACCTGGCTCCTCCTCCTGCTCCGGTTCCCTCCTGTCGTCTCCCTGGCTCCTCCCTCCATCGTCACCTCCCTGGACTCTGTTAGCCGTCCTCCTCCTGGAAGGCCGTCCTCCGCCGGAACCTCCACCTGTCTGGTCTGCCTGCCAGCCCTTTGCCTCCCCCTGTCACCATCTCACATCCTCTGCTTTGTCCTCCTCCTAGTCCCCCTCCGCCCCTCCCTCTGTTTCTACGGTGCGAGGACGCACCTTCCGGGAGGGGGGAGTAATGTCACGGAAACGCCTGCCTCACCAGCCGAATCAGCCTCCTACACCCGCTCACAATCACCTGATTACTGATCACGGACACCTGCACCCACTTACCACACCACTCAAATACTCACTCACCTCATTCACTCATCGGCTGGTCTCAAGGTTGCAAGCTTCTCTGTCCTGGTTCCTTGCCTCCCGATCTGCCTTTCAACCATCGGATTCCTCAGTTCTCGGCCGGAGGACCAGAGTGCCGACCCCAGATAAGACTGTGTTCTATGCTTCCATTTATCCCTACGTTTGCCTCTTTTCTGTTGGAAGCTCCTCCTCAGTTCCTATTAATAAACTCTCTGCCTTACGTTAACCTGCCTGTCTGCCTCTTTGTCCCGGTTGTGACAGTTAGTTAATGTTAGTTAACCAATTTAAAGTGTTTTTTTTTTTTTCTCAGATGAATCATAAAATCATTCCAATTTACTTATGAATCATTTAGACTAATTAACAAAATCTGTTCAACTTAATTACTGACATGAACCGACTCAAAAACAAACAAATCAAACACCCCTATTACTCCAAGAGCACTCCGGTGGAGACAGATGGTACCAAAATGTACACATGCCTGAGGAACCCTGAGGTTTGCAAAACATGTGACTAGTTACATTAATTCTTGTGAAAAAGTCATTGATGCGATTATTGATTTTTTGATGAAATGTTGACAGGATGCTGGTAGAAATCTACAAACAAATCTTTGAGCATGAATGAATGACCTCTAGCATCGAGTGTCATCACACCAATGACGCAAGACGGCTCACTCGGTTAACATGAACAAACAACCCAGACCCAGCCCTTGACCTCAGGATTAATGAGCCGGTCTGACCGCACCTGAGGTCAAAGGTCATGGGTTAAAACTGAGCCGAGAGAGAGCAACTGAGAGGACCGGAAGAGAATTGAGATTCAACACGTGTCGAGTGCAAACAGCTCATTCAGCCGTTAAAAACTGTTCAAAGGATGTGAAGAGATGAAAAGATTCAGCTCTCCTCTCTCCGGAAAATATGCACCTTGAACGGCTGAAATAGTATTACTTATTCACTCTGCTTTGTCTTTTCAAGCTCTCGTATTATCACCAAAGTGTCAACGGTAGGTAAGTTTTATACCAGCTGGTTGTTTATGCTAAGACCAGCTTGAACCTCCTTTCCATTGAGCTCTAAACATGAAACCGTGAAGGCCCTTACCTGCCTAGAAGAATGTTTTTTGCTCAGATGTTTTCCAAGCTCATGCAATTTATTGCCTTTCTGCAGCTATGTTTCATTTCGGTATCAATTTAATTTAGGTATATTTCCTGTAATTAAATTGAAATTACTATATATTCAAATAGAAAACAAATTGTTGGAGGAAGGACTGTCCAGCTGTCACGCCACCATATTTTTCACATTTTAGCATTGGTGTCTCTGATTGAAATTGTTAGCATGCAGCTCTTTTATGGATGTTGGCTTAGTGAAGTTCTCTATGGTCAGTATTTCAAAAAGATATTGAGGTTTGCTGTCACTTTGCTGCAGTGTTGTTTGGACACAATCCTTCTTAGTGTTTGATGGTCCCTAACATTCAGTTTTTGCTCCCTTTTCTTCTTCACTGTCAAGTCTTGCCATGCTTTGTGCACGCAGTCATAATCGTAAAGACTGTTGTTCTTAAAACACCAAACAATTGAGCTGTTAAGGTTACAGACACTCCTGCTAAATGGTCTTTTTTGGAAGTCTGACAAGTCACCATTTCACCGACCGCTTGTACTAACAGCTGCTGAACACAACTTATACTACACTGATATAGAACCAAAAGAATATAGATAGCAAAAAGGTAAATAAAAATTAACCCTTTTTTTAGCCTACAAAAAATAGGTATTCATATGATTTTGTCCAACCCCTGTGTTTGTATATCAGTGGTGTTCTGAAATGAGGCAAAGTACTTTTCCCCCCCCTTTTTTTTAATCAAATGTAAATTCATGTCCCAGTCACATTTTCTTGGTTAAATAAACATTACTTACACTATCAGAAAAAAATAACTATTTTATATTTTTACATTAACAATGTAATCAATATTCTATTTATTACAGCCAAGTATGAATCTCATCAAGTTAGTGTTTTTAAGCATTTTACAATTATTCCAAATTAACAACTCAAGGCAGTAACAATTTATATAATATTTTATTTGTGAACTTATGTTCAGCTTTTCTTTTTAATAGTTAACTTTTAAATATTGGAATTTTTCCAATTATCAGTCATCAAAGCTCAATATATTGGTCACAGACACATTTACCTTAAATTTCACCAAGCTGATTACTCAATAAAAACTCCCACAGATCATATTTTCAGACCATTTCAAGTCTTATTTTGATGTAACAAAGTGATTATATCTAAGTGTGTGAGTTGTTTACTTACTTTTTTCAGTTAGTCTTCCCATTAATGCCATTATATTGTTCATTCAGACTGATTTGCAAACGCGGAATGTGCACGAACACAAGAGGCGGGATTTATCGCATGAACCAATCACAGCCGAACATAACCAGTAATATCCAATCATATTGCGATGGAGGCATTGCTTCCTCTCACGTGACTTTTCCCCATTCATTCTCAGTTACCCCCCACCAAACTTACCGCACACTTTAGGGGGTCTGTTAAAACTCAATGGGCTCAGGGGAGACCCCCACTGTAACTTTACCTGCTGGTGTCGCTGTTGGACAGTGTTACTTTAGAAAAATTAGTGATTTATACAGTTTTTAATGATACATTTTGTAATATTTACATAGTTTTATTTTTGTACTACAAACTCTTTTCTCATCCAATTTTTTGAGGAGGCACTGCCTCCCTTGCCTCCTCGGAGGAAATGCCCCTGATGTATATATACGTATATATTTGTGCTGAACAGTTAAACCTGTTGTTCTTCAGAAAAATCCTCCAGGTCCTGCAAATTCTTTGATTTTTCAGCATCTTTTACATATTTTAACTCTTTACTGCAGTGACTGTATGATTTTGAGATCCATCTTTTCACATTGACAACAACTGAGAGACTCATACGCAACTATTACAAAAGCTTAAAACGTTCACTGATAACAAAATTTTTCTTATTTTGTTTAAATATTTTTTTATTTTATTTAGCACTGTCCTTCAGAAGCTACAGAATATATTTACATGTTTCCATAATTTTTTTTAAAAATTTGCAGGTCTAGCGATTTGTCTCATCTCTCTCAATTAGCGCTGAGAAGTAAATGGGGTTCAAAATGTGATGCACAAATTTCTGGTTTTATTAGTTTAATTAATGTTTTTTTGTGAACTGAATCAAATTAATCAGAGTTTCAAATGAATCAAACTATTCAAGTGAATCAAACAATTCAAATGAATCAAATGATTCAAACTAATCAAATTATTCAAATTAACCAAGCTACTGAGATGAATCAGAATCCCTACTATTAGTAAACTGATCAAGGAGGTACAAAGTAGCTCAGATCATTTGGTCTTGGAAGAATTTGATGAGAACCGTCTGAGTCCATGAGATCTGACTTTTGATTGCAGACCGAATGTAGTTTGAGATGTTGTAATCTCTTCTAAAACCCCAGAGTAGACAAAAGTGAGATTAAAGGAGTCTTTTTCTCAGGAAAAAGAAAAAGTTCAGCGAAAGTCACCATTTAATTCCATTGATGTCTAGGAGACATTAAAGAGATTTTCATTTGTGATTTTCTTTTCTATGATACTGCTGTGAGCTCACAGTCCTTCTACACCTATTAAGGGATGAATGACTACAGCGGCAGACAAATCCATAAGGTTCAGTGAAATCCTGCATATCGTTACGGCCTTTGTTAGCTAAACTAATCCTCTAATGGAAAAATGTCAGTGACACTTAAGTAGTGACAAAACATTTGAAAAATGCCTTCTTTTATGCAAGTCAATAGAGAGCTGCTTTATAATAGCACTGTGTACATGACCACACAAATCAATAAAAACAGGTACTCAGTATCTCTCTTTAATCTGGGCTAATGTACTTCTGTTGTCACCATAAGCACTATAATGTGTTCCTGCCTTCATCATCATAACATCAGTCACAAACCACACTGATAAAACCGCTAGAGATAAATGCACTGAAGATTAATTCTCAGGGCTGTGTTCAAATCCATTACGCTATGGATGTAGTGATGCTTGAGGAAAGATAAACTCGATTCTGGAGAAGAGCAGATGTTTTCAGCCTTCATATCTGCTCTCCTTGTGGCATCCTTTTTCTTTAACTGGATATCAAAAGCAACCCATTTATTTCAGACACTACTAACTCACCTCCCAGTCCGGGTCTCAGCCGGTTGTCGTAGCCGTCCAGCAGCCGGTCCAGGATGCGTGTGAACAGGGTGATGTTATTTTTGAAGGCATCTGTTGTGGCATCTGCGGACACTGACCTACACAACAAAGTCAAGTGTGTGTGTGTGAACTTAACAGTCTCATGAACAGCTTGGGAAAGACTTCAGAGACTTCAAAAATGAGGGTGGAGAAACTACAGACTGAGTCAAATGAGGAATTACTGATATTCACAATGTTTTTGACGTCTTTTAGCACTTAAATTATCCTAGTTTCATATGCTGCAAGTTACAGCTCTCGTTTAAGATGTTCAGAGAATTATTGCACTGGATTCCAATGAAATTTGAAATCTTTTTAACTTTGAGACTCATTTTAGCTGTCAGAAAGCTGCTTTGAAGACAGCACTACAGTCAAACTAGTCTTTTTAAAAAGTAGTAAGCTGCAATACAGGTTAGTAAAAACTACTAGAGTTAAGTTATAATTACTACAATTAATACAATAACTACAATAACGTTTTTACATGTTTTAGATAATAATCTGATTTCATCATTTAGAAAATGAATTAGAAAGTATTTTCTGACATAAAAACCATGAGGATCTAAATTAATTTACACTAAACACAGCTAATAAAACACTGAATGAAAGGCATAATGATTAACTAATTGATAGTAATGATTTTTGAAACACTGCATGATGAAACAAAAATCATAATCATAATGATAGACAACATTATTTATTTAAATACATACATACATACAACATGGAGAAAATTTAATAACTTTTATAAGTAATGGTTTTTAACCACTTTGTTATAGAACACTGAATCCAAAAGCATAATTCTAAACAACAGAATTTAATCGAATATGTAATTTACAAAATAAAATAATATAAATTAATAAAATAAATGAATAAATGAATGAATGAATGACATGCATGCAATTTAATTTCTTTTGTAAGTGATGACTTTTAACCAATTCATTAACAGCTGAATCAAAAGCATTTTCAAAATATTTGTTTTACAAATAAAATCATTTTAAACAAACAAACACATACATACATACATGCACAAATTTACAAACATAAAATGGCATGCAGGCAATTGTATGACTTTTGTAATTTATGGCTATTTTTAAAGCATTTAGAGTCCAATCTAAATGAATCATTTTGCTGAAATAAACAGGATTTTCTCAATTCTTGAGGGAGACAGAACTATTCAAGGAGTGTGCTTTGATTACTGCCTTAGTTTGCTTGTGCAGAATACAATGAAACATGAAATCAGCAAGCGTTTTGTCAGACTACATTGCTACTTTTTTGGAAAAGTACCTTCTTTCTGAAAACGTTATTGCTGCTAACTCCACAGCACTGCTGTGATGTGATTAGAGCGGCCTTTCACTCTGTTCTACTTCCAGTAAAGTTTATGTGAAAAGCTGCTCAGGAATATAATTAACATACTTAAGCATAATTGGCTTAATTAGCATAAGCAATCATGCATGCATTATGAACGTCAACTTGATCTGTTTGCTAGCTGACTGTTAAACCCTTTTAACTCGCTCTGTTTCAAAGCCTATGTGCGGACTATTGAGAAAACATTTTGAGGCATCCTAGGTGCATTTTCTTCCAAAGCTAATTTCTAAGACTATATTTTTGGTCAAACTGCATGCATAATTGCATCAAGCTAAATAACAAAGTAAAGAATATATCAATTAGACTGCTCTGCATCTGCATTTGGTGAACAATATCCGATACTTGTTTGTTACAAATTTTGGGGTGCTGATTCCAAAAATAGTGCCCGTTTTGCTCAAGCATGTCACATTTCCTTACAAAACATAGTGAATTTTGTAGCATTTTTGCTTTCAACAACCATTTGAAGGGTGAAGAAGTCTTGTATTATCCCATAATCACCAGAAAACTGCCACAAAGACATGCTTGCCATCTTCCTCTGAGCAAGATTAACTATTTGGCATTTGCTCAATTCCCAGGCAAATGCCATGTGTATGAATGATTCTTAAGACATTATTTTATTACTAATCCTGATTTCAAGGTTAGAATTATGGCCAGCGAAAGAAGAAATGCAAACATGACCCAGACATCTTTACTACATCTAAACAGCGACAGAAAATACAGATTTACAGTAAGTATCAATAAAATAAAATCTAAATAAATTGACTATTTAATCCAGTATGTACTTTATAGTATATCTCATCTTTAGTTTAGAAACATGCTAACATCAGACTCTATTGGAATCAGCCATGACTCGTGAGTTGAGCTAATGAAGTTGTTGCCTTCCAAATCAGTCAGTTAGGATGCTGCAGTGCAAGGCAGCTGTCTATGTAGGCAGCAGTGAGGCAGCTCACTAGGTTTTGGAACAAAGCCATAGATTATACATGGACATGACTGAGCAAGTTCTTCTGAACGTGATTTCCGTCCAAATCGCTCCAAAGTAGTTCAGCTGGCAAATCAGCATATGCATAATTCTGAGCTCTGCCATGGGGTAATACCTCATTATAGAGCAAATTTGTAGCTAATTCCTACATAAGCCTCACATAAATTGAGAGTATTTTATAGATAATTATGCATCTTTCATACTGTTACCATCTGGGTGAGCATAAAGGAACCTGAAGGGATAGTATCGACCCATTTAGAGTTATAGAAAGCACTCTGTTTTTACGGTTCCTCAACAGTTGGAGGACAAACCTCCCCTAGCACTCCTTTCTCGGGGTGCATCCATGTGTGACCCAGATTAGCGGGAGGTTTATCTGATCCCGCCCCGATTCCAGTTATTCAGAGTGAATTCACTGCTTGTGGAAACCAGTAAAGCATATTTAATGAATCGACTTTATGACACAAACTGGAGGATGGGGTTGCTTATCACAAGCATTATCTAGATTTATATGATATTGGTTTATTGATTGGTAAGGCTTGGTGTGACCATGTTCACTCCCAGGAGAGGGTCTAAGTCAATGATTTAATATAAATAAAAAGAAAACAGGCCATCTTATTAAGTTAAAACTAAATTGGCAGTGAACCTGAGCTGAGTTACAGAGCAGTCAGAGTAATTATAATCCATGTGGTCACTATTTAATCATGGGGTTGCAACAAAATCAAGGTTGACCTTCTTAATTATTGTTTTATCAGAATAAAAAAATAAATACAAATAAATAAATAAATAAATAAAATTTCAACCAAAACACTCACTGGGAGTTCCAAAACACACAGATGCACATTGCTGTTATGCACTTAAAGTAAGGTACTATAGGCGTAAACAACCACTTTGGTTGGATTTTACAATTTTCACTTCACACAATACTTTGCAATTAACAAATTGTCTAAAAACACAAGGAATGATAGCCATTAGAATATATAAACATATTAATTTCAATTATTTTGTGTCACCTTCGCCCGAAACATTAGCTACTTTAGTATGTGAAAGCCATTTTCTTGCTCAAAATTAACCATAGTACTGTATTTCATATTTTATAATAGTTAGAAAAGCCTAATTTAAAATTGCATTTTTCATTATTATGAAAAGCCCTTTGAAATGAGGGTTTAAAAATTCATGAATAGTTTATTAAAGGTGACATATCGGGGAAATCTGACTTTTCCAGGTTTTAAGTGCTATAATCAGGTCCCCGGTGCATCTACCAACCAAGGAAATGTGAAAAAGATTAACCCAGTAACTTTGTTTTGGTAAGCCTTTTTCTGCAGGCATCTGAGAAAACGAGCGCGTCTGATTTCGCTCCCTTGGTGACGTGGCAAAGGGATCTCATTATAATATTACCACCCCATAATCTGTAAGTTTACACCCACGGCGCCGTCATTTTGATTTCGCAAGCGACAACGGTGTACCAGCTCTAATGCCATGGTGAAAGTTTTTTTTTTTCATGCTAACTGTTCTGCCTTTGGCTGCACAGACGAGCACAGAACACTATTTAGAGTCCCAGCCTCAGAGGAGACAAGATATCAGTGGATTTATTGATTTATTTAATGTATATTGCTGCTGCCACACAGATCTAAAATAAACAAGCGATTTATTTCCCAGCTGTTTACCTTCACAGACATAACCAACTGTTTTTTGTAACTCGTGTGTTTTTAACGTAAACTTGTGTGTGAATGAGAACTTAGATTAGTACTCACATGCTGTGACAGCCGCTTTCTGTCCGTGTGCACTCAGAAAACCGTATATCAGAAGTTTAAACTAATATGGTTTAAAACGCATGATTTCAG